TCAGAAACTCACAGAATATTTCTGGAATGTTATGTTAAAAAAAAAAAAAGAAAAGAATAAAAGGTCTTTTCTGTGTTTGCTTTAGCAATAAGTATAATCTCACAGCAATAGTTCACCAGAAGAGCTACAGAGCCTCTCTGCACAGCCTCAGGTGGCTCCGAGCCTCTGGAAGGTTATGGTCAAAAGTCACAAAGAAGAATTTGCTGACCACTTGCATAATAACCTATTTTGATACGTTTTGATTCTGACAATCACCATTATTAGTTATCATGAGGATGGTTATGATCAGTTGTTTCTTGTATAAATGTTACAAAAACTGTCTGAATACTTCAATATATTCTTCAGTGGTTTGCAGTTTACCTTAATGTTTTCCTTTACAATTTGGCAACCCCAGTTATATACCCAGGGATTTTCTATTACAATTTTGTTTCCGCCTTCATTCCTTTAAAATGAGAATATTTATTTAAAATGAAAATGTAGTCCCTGTTTTCCCCTAGCTCTGAAATGGTGTCTTTTTAGTGGTGGCTGCGGGAGGTTTTGTGGACTTGCTGGGGCTGTGGGTGGCCAGGTGGGGAGAGCTCGTGGAGCTCCACAGGCCTCTCCTCCCAGCACATCCATCTATATCATGATGACAGAGAAAGTTTCCTTCACGTGAAAGAGCATCACAGCACAGCGTTCTCAGTCCTGCTCAGAGTCTGCTCTGAAAACCGACGAGTAGGGAAAACATTCTAACTTTTGAAACACAGAGTGCACCTTCATTTGATGCCAATAAAAATAAAAGGCATGCCACTCTCAGGGCTGCCATTTCTCTGGCCACTACAAAGGGTCAGTTTGCATCCTTTATCTGGTTGCCACAGTCTCCTTCTACCCGTGCGTCTCAGGGTCAGCTGCCCCTGTGCCAGGCCCTGTGCTGAGGCCTGAGAGGACAGAGATGAAACTGCTTTTGACCTCAGAGAGTTTCCACCATCATGACTGTAATCACAACTGTCTAATGACCATGCTCGGTTCAGAGGTGGAGCATCTGCTGACCAGAAAGCATCCTGTCCAGCCTTTCATTCTGTGTTACATGAATGAGGCATGGGAACAACTATGTATTTCCCAAAGGTCGCGGGTCCGTCCCACTAGGAATCTGGCTGAACAGCACTGAAGTCTCGATGCGCTGTCTCTGCTGTAAACTAAAACATCTCATCTTGGAAGACTGACAGGAAGTGTTTAAAGAAGACTGGATTCACCTTTTTATAGCTGAACGTGTTCACGTTACCCTGCTCTGTTATAGACAGGAGTGCCTGGAAGAGGGGCTGTCTGGGCTCAGGGACTGTTGAGCTCAGGATCACCTACAAATGTCACTGTTTCACAACCGTGTTTTGAGCAAGCTTTCTCAAAGCCTCCTTTTAACTGTTCCTTTTAATTGCTCTTCTCCAAGATTCTTCCATGTAAAGTGTTCAGCAAAGCTGTCTCTTCCAATTATTGCTTAATCCTGTTTTGAGTGATTTTAACAACGTTGGGAATTATTTGCTTCCTGTTTAAAAGCAAACCACCATCAGAAATAACCATTATAAAACATTGTTGCTTACTTCTATGTTATAGTGCGTATCACATTTTGATAGTTTCCATTTTGATAATTCCACTCCATACCTACTAGGGTAGCTTTAACAATATTTAAAAAGACAAAACAAGTATTGGTGAGGATGAGGAACACTGGAATGCTCGTCGTATGTTGGCTGGAACGTAAAGTGGTTCAGCTGCTGTGGAAACAGTCTGGCAGCTCCTCTGTAAGTTAGACACAGAATCTCCGTAGAATCCAGCAGTTCTACACCTAGGTGTGTACCTGAAAGAAGAAAACAGGTGTTCAAACAAAATCTTGTTCATGAATGTTCATTGCAGCATTAGTCACAGTAGCCCAAAGAAGGGAAAACCCAAGTGTCCGTCAATGGATAAATAGATAAATAAAGCATGGTATATCCATACGATGGAATATTACTAAGCCATAAAAAGGAGTGAAGCTCTGTTATACATGGTAGCATAGATTAACTTTGAAAACATAACACTGAATGAAGGAAAGTATGCACATATTACACGATTCCACTTACATGAAATATCCAGGACAAACAAATCCACAGAGACAGAAAGTAGGTGGACAGTTCTGGGGGTTGGGATGAGGGAGAAGTGGGTGTGGGGTTTCTTTTGAGGGTAGTGAAATGTTCTGGAACCAGATAGGGGTGCTAATTGCATAGCACTGTGAATTAACTAAATGCCACTAAATTGTACCTTTTGAAATGGCTAAAATGGTAAATTTTATGTTATGTGTAGTTGTACCATAATAATAAAGAAAATTATGTTGCTTATGTTTTGAGGATTTAACCTTTAAACAATTGGAAATAAAAACTTCAGAGTAAAATCTCAACAAGGCCATTGAAAAATTAGGGATCTGCTGAATTTTTAATTTAACCACAAGAACCATAAAGAGTAAAAATATAATGAGAAGAAATTTATAGCCTGTAAATAAAGTTCCAAGGGAAGAATATTTCATTCTTTCAAAAGAGATTGAAAAATTGGAAGGTTGGAAATAATGTAATTTTGAGGGTGTGTTTAATATTTTTATTTTTATAAAGAGGAGCATTTAATTTAGTAAGATGTATATCCATTAAGCATATAATGGTTTAAAGTGATATTAAAAACACCAGGGAGATCTTACTATTTTTTAATCCGAATTCTCCAGGGGTTTTGTGCATTTCAGTAGAATTAAACTGGTTGACTGCTATTCAGACTCTTCTAAGTAGTAGAGATCTTGTACCTGATTTAACACAAAATATCTGGAATTACAAGGAGGACTCTGAGCCATAATAGGACCTTCAACATTTAGCACTTTTATTTCACAAGGTGACTACAGACTTATTTGGGGGAATGATTTATGCATGCTCTGTAATTTTATGCTGCTAAGTTTTCATTATTTCTTATGACTGAATAGTCTGCAATATGCTAGACATAAACTTGGAATTTAATATTCTATTAAACACAGGCGTTGCAGGTTTGAGAACTATCTAACCAGTGGCAAATGTGAAGTCGGTAAAGGAAATCCAAACCAGGAATGAAGCCCACAAGTTGTTTGGAAAATTTATGTTTTTCTGGCATGTTCCACAATAGTTCAAATATTAGAAACAATTTATAGCTTCATCTGTACCCTAGATGAGACCTTGCAAGCTGGAACTCTATCACTTTTTCTTTTAGACAGTCAAACCACAGGTTATACGAAAAAATGAGGACAGAAATCCAGCAAAGCCATGATTTCTACTCAGCTAAAACACAGACTGCATTAAAACCACATGTTGCTGAGTGCTGGTTGGCCAGGCCAAAATTTAGGATAAGACGTAAGGCACTGAGCAGGATGGGGAAGTGTTTTCTCAGATGCATAGGCCCCCAATGCTCATAGCACACGATCCGGTAACTCTACAAATGCCCAAGATAAGTCCCACAAAGGTCTTGAAGAAGCATTAGTGGCAGGGTCTATTCTCAGCCCACCATGACCGTCAGAGACTGGCAGCCTCCTTGAGATGGTGGCCGGATGGCATTTTCTTGTAGCCAGCAGGTTTTAACTGCCAGGCCATCAAAAAGTAGCTGTCTGAAGACAGGGAGTGGACAGCATTTGAAGAAGTGTCTCTTGGAGTCAAGAGGGCCTTTAAGCTCTCTGAAGACGTGGACACTTGTTATTTAAATCTGGAAACACTTAAAAAAATTGGGAGAGCCATTTTTTTTTTTCACTTTTTAAAATTCAAATGAGCTACATTGTGTGATGATCCAAAGAAGTCAAGCATGTACTTGCGGTGGTGATCCTGGGGTGTGTAGCCCATGGGAGAAAACATTAGGACATTCTTCTCAAAGGGTGGAATGTCTGCTCCTTAGGGCATGTTTTATCATTCCAGGGTCACGGAAAGATCGGCCCTCGTTAGTGTGAGGCTCACAGCTTTGGCTCGCTTTGCTGGAAGTCTGGAGCTAGCATCTGTCGGCCGCGGAGTCTGTAGTTCTCAGATGCCTCTGTCCAGTCCCGATTGTGCAGATGGCAGCAGAGACGAGCTTTGCTCGTGCTGTCTACTTGCATTGTGGATTTTGTGTCTCCACATTTCATCATTTTTTTTCTAGAGTGAGATTACATACGCTTTTATGTTTTCAGACTTTTCCATTTTTACTAGTTTTTGGGTCCCTGGGGATGTCTGTCGAAGTAGCAGCGGCAACATTGTGCTTTATATTACATGATAATGCTGCAGTCACTTTAACATGAACACAGGGACATCGGGGGCAGAGTGCGAGGTGCGCTGAGGATGTTTGACCGCTTTTATGTACTTGATTGTCAAACTTCGCATGTGAAGTTGGAAGAGGTAGAAGCTTAGTATTGAGTCTGAGATCCTGGGAAACTGAGATGAAGATAAAAGAGGCGAGCCACGATTTCCTCTCAAAGAAGGTCCCAGCCTGGGAGGCGCCCTGGTGTGCAGCTGTGGGTGAAAGGTCCCCGCCCCTTTAAGTGTCCCAACACTCCTTCTCCCTTGGTCAGTTCTGTCTGGTCTCATTTTAACTGCAATTTCTAGACCTGGCCCCAACTTTGGTTCTAGACCTGATCCTGGTGAGCTCAGATGAATGTCCCTGTGCCTGGGAAGAGCCTGTCTGTGGCCGGCCAGACAGTTGGCAGTTCTTCATGTCCAGGGAGCCAGGTCCTCCTGTTGACCCATAAAGAGGCTGAGCCTCAGTTTCCCCACTCTTTTGTTGTGGAGAATGATGCTGCTCTCCTCACCTGCAAGCCTGTCTCAGGATAAAAACAGGATTGCATCAGATGAGGCACATGCCCTTGTGCAGAGCCCAGGAGAGCCGAGTCGCCTCAGAAGCCCCGTCCAGCCTCAGCACTCTCAACCCTCGACTGTGACTCATGTGCTCACATCTCCAAACATTCCCGTCTGTTCCGTCCACCTCCCGTGGCATAACCACTCCTCTGCCCCTGTTCTTTCCTACAGATGTGTCCAGGTGTGTGGCCGAGAGGAAGTATACCCAGGAGCAAGCCCGGAAGGAATTTCAGCAAGTGTTCATTCCAGAATGCAACGAGGACGGCACCTACAGTCAGGTCACCTGCCGCGTCTGGGCGGCTCTGCAGCTGGGCGATCGGGGGAGGAAGGGGCAACGAGGGCAGGAAGGCTACCTGCAAGCGGCGGCAGGGCCCCTCCGTGGGGAAGTCTCCCGTCCGTGTTACAGAAGTGAATTCGTGGCGGGCCTGGTTCGCATGCACAGCAGTGGCGTGCTGGTTCCTGAGCGGGCGCAGGTGTGGCCCACCGTTGCCACTCCCGCCTGCACTGTGCGTGCGCTGAGCACGGACAGCTCCTCAGCCTGGCTAACTAGACCACACTAACCTGGCTCGTTAGCATTTGATTTTACTTTAATTTTAATTATAGGGAAGCACACACTAAAAGTCATGTGGCACCATGACCTTAATCCCTCCAATGGGTTCGCAGACAGCAGCTGAGCCAAGTCAAGCCCGTGGCGTGCCAGTGACCACATCAGTAGCCGAAGGCAGTGTCCAGAACATGACCCGAGTCTCTATCTTGACTATGTCAGTGCTATCACTCCCTACTAAGGGAAAACAATTCCTAAAGTACAATGCTATGTCATGCAGTTCCTGTAGAAAACGGAGCAGGACCTGCTGTTTAACCTGCCTGTGGTCTGTCGCATAATACTGTGAGTTCTATGTGTTTTCACAGTAACTATTTGACCTTTGGGAGACTGATGAGAGAGAGAGAAATGGAGAGAAATTGGAGCTAAAGGAGTGTCCGGCTCAGCTTGTGGCTGTCCACGGGGGGGGGGGGGGGGTC